TCCTGTGTTTTTCCTCAGAGTATAATATTGTGCTCACAAGCCAGTGTTTTAAGCATATGAATTCATTTTACAGTTTTTAACTATTAACACTGAATGTGATATTACAAAAAATTAAGCTAAGAATGGCACTATAAATAATGTGAGCCCCCTAAATTTATAAGGTAACTCTTACTACCCTTTAAGGCTTATAACATTGGGCTTTTGAGAGGTAAGGAACAGTGGAAGGTATTCCTCGTGTCTAATTTCTTCAAAACCAGGTCCATTTTAACTCAATTTCACAGGAAAGGTTATGCTTTTCCAAACCAGAAGTTGTTACAAAATGACCCTTCTGAGAAGATTTTTTATGTTTTGTCCTCTCTTTATTATGACTCCAATGTTTTTAGTCAAACTAAATCTGGAGGAACCTCTTAAAAAACCCAAAACGCTATTCTGGCAAATTTATCCTATATATTCAGTCTGAAAATTGCAAGCCAAAATATTTCTCTCTCATTTAATTTTTATTTGTTTTTCACCTTCAATTTTTACAGCTGAAAATGTAGAAAAATTCATGACTAGGAAGCGCCTATAACCCCTAGCCATAAAACAAAATATGTCTCATGAAATACTGTTGGATGCTGGAGAATATTGCAACAGCCAGGAATCAGAATAGGTTTGAATTCTGTGATACTACAGAGAGAATCCCTCACTGGTGAATTTGACTGAAATAATTTCAGAAACTGAGGTAGTTCACGACATTCAAGAAAGTCAATATAAACACTAATTGAAATGTATCTTATTTGTTAATTGAAGCAAAGTGGGAAATTTCTATATAAAGGTTTTCAGTGAATTTCTACTGTCTTTAAAAGTCATTATATTTGCACAATAAGGTAGTTTGGCATTGCAGTGTAGTCTGCTTCAATTGAACTTCCCATAGAAAATCTCCTTGTCTTTTGTTAACTGAATGACATATTCCACTGAAGAGCTAAATCCATTTTGAAATAGAAAAAGTGAAGTGCCGCTAGTAAAGTCACTCTAGAATTCATCAGAAACATTATTATATTTTTATCAGTAGTAGGAAAATACTGTGAAGATCATTATTTCTTTATAATGCAGACTGCATTGCATTATATTTCTCAATATTTATTACACAGCATTACAATAAATTTTCTCCTTATCAAATCAAAATTTTGCACACAAGCAGTGCAACCTGAAAGATGAAGTTTCATTCAACTATAGATTGGCTGTGTATCTGATTAATCCTCTCCTTATAATTAAGTTGTCATAGCAATGCATTTTTAGTAGTACTGATTCATATGCCAGTAATATTCTGGAGACAGTGCTCTTGGTAGTTTTTCAGTACTCAGTTATGCTAAATTATAAAGTTAGCAAATACAAAAGTACTGGTCAACTTTCCCAAGCAGAAGAACATGTGATCAGACTTAAAACAGGCTAAAGTACCATCTGGCATACATCACAGAAAGCAATACAAAATTTTGGGTGGCTCAGCTCAAGAAAGTTAAGGCAGATCCTAAATCTGTTTTATTTTCAATATAAATGCTTAATGATTAAAAAAATACTCAATGCTTTAAAAAAACAAGGTGATTATGATTACATCTTACTAGGAAGAAAGAAAATGTAGTGGTTTTTTCCTAAAGGTGTTGCTTTCATATATTGATACTTCTGTGGTATACCAGGCAGCTGTGCAGAAAACATATTGATAATAGGAAATCACTTTACTTTTTTACATGTCTTTCCCTCTGTATTTTTGACAAATACATTAAATTAAAAATATTTATAAGCTTTCAAGACAACAGAAAATCATCCTTCAAGGTCTAGGACTATATATCTTGGCTGCTTCTGAGGCAATTACAGCAAGTTGGACTCAATGATCCTTCCATTGAGTGGAAGGATGTGGGTCCCTTCCAACTCAGCTTATTCTGTAACTCTGTGATTCTGTGAAGTATCAGCATGCACAAGTCTGTGAGAGCAAAAAAAAACTGCTTGATATTTCATTCATTTTTTAAAATTCAGAATCTGAAGAATTATGTGCATTATTTTCTAGCATGAGGTAAAATGTGAGTCAAAGTGACATGAAGAAAAAATGGTGTTAGCTTATTTCTGTGGCTGAGAAAGGAAAAGAGAAAAAAACCCAAGAGATTATTTTCCTCATGACTCTCTAGAAAGCACAAGGTTTAAATTCTGCAGACTTTTTTGGGAAGATCATTGCATAGCACACATCCTCTAAATGCTCCTTCAAAGGACTGATCAAGGGGAAAGTACATTGTGAATGCAATAACTGACCTAACTAATATAACTTAATGAAGATGTGTATTGATTTGGTTATGAGGAACTCTTAGCCTCTAAATGTATAAATGCAAAATGGTAATTGTTCACTCTGAAGTTTCTGACCTTCCCTGAATGATGTGAGAAACCTGCCTGCTTAACTCAGACTAGAATCTTGCAAGCAAGGGAAAGATGCGCAACTACCAAAAATTTAACTTACACTACATTTTCCTGTTTCATATATATACATAAGAGTCAAAAATTAAACCCAAAAAGGGGGTCTGGACTGAGGCATGGTGAAAATCTAACAGTGACAAAGATGGAGTTACTAAGGGAAGTGTGGGGTGATGGAATTAAAAAGGGACCAAATAGTTAAGCAGAATTTAGCTGAGGATTTCCTGAGGATCAAAGCTAATACTACACTTTGAGCATCTAGAAAAAACAGTGGAATAAGCAAGCTGTCACTGACATGCAAATTGAGACTTCCCAGAAAATAAATATAGTAAGAAATCTCATGATAGATGCATTAATAAGTGCATACACACAGTATATGTACCATTACCTTGTACCGTAATCAATAAACACATACATCACATTTTCCTTAACTGTCGTAAGCTTTCTCTTCTAAGCTGTTGTTGCTTTATTCTTCAAAAAGTGAATCTTTGAAATTAATATAAATTACATGTTTAATGAAGGAATGAGCAGTCTAGTTGGACATTTGGGTTAGGGCCCATTACCAGAGAGGTGCAGAAGGTGCTGAAGGGTGTGAAGCCCTCACAGAGGGTTGGTACATAGGACAATAGAGAAGAATACCTGGCTCTTGTCTACTCTCACTACAATGTAAGCTGACAAGGCAGAATATCAAAAGACCTTTGTGCTTGTTTTGTATGGAATAGAGCCAATTTACCTCACAGTAGCTAATATAGGGCTGTGTTCCACATTTGTGCTGAAAACAGCGTTGGTAACAGGGATGTTTTATTTATTACTGTGCAGACAAGGCTCTTCTGCCTCTCCCCCCACCCCACCAGTGAGTAGGCTGGGGGTGCACAAGGAGCACTTGGTGGGAGCACTGCTGGGACAGCTGACCCCAACTGACCCAAGGCCTATCCAAGACCAAATGACATCATGTTCAGCTTTGAAAGCTGCAGAAATAAGAAGGAAGGGAGGATATTCAGGGATGACATTTGTTTTCCCAAGTCACCACTATGTGTGGAGCCCAGCTTTCCTGGAGATGGTTGAACCCCTGCCTGGTAATGGGAAATAAGAAATGAATTCCTTGTTTTGCTTAGCTGACAAGTGTGGCTTTTGCTTTATCTCTTAAAATGTCTTTATCTAAGCTAATGAGTCCTCTTAATTCTACTCTTCCACTTCTCTTCCCCATCACAGAAAGAGACACAGAATGGCTCTGTCAGTCTTAGTTGCTGTCTGGAATTAAACCACAACAACCTTCTGTACAAAAGCCATCCCATGGTTATGAAAATGTTATCACCAGGTTCTGAGTAGGCTTTATCATTTGAATGCCTTGGAGAAAGGATGAATCACTCTCTACATTGCTGTTACTCATCAAGTAAATGCAGTAGACTAGTCCCCCACTGTTGCTCATTTCCCATCACATTCCCCTTCAGTGAATAATAAAGATGACCCTTTCCTCAGACAAGGGTTATATCATCTTGCAAAGGTGTATGTTTGAGAAAAAAACTGCTTCTCTGCCCACTTTTCTCATGATGCAGAATAACTTCATCCAACAGTTGATACAAAATGGTTCTAGATCTGATTGTTTGGTTCTTCCTTATGATTATTTATCAAATGCAAGACATAGAGTCACAGTAATGGTAAATAAATATTATACTTAATATTTCCTTTTTCCTAGTTTAAAGTCTACGACAGGTAGAGAGTCAGCCTACAGATGACCAAGAAAACAGAGTTTCCAAATACTTTAAGTTTGCATATTAACTATTAAACAAGTCCCTTCCACAACACTTTAATTAAAAAAAAAAATCTAAGCCAAAGCTTGTTTCGGATCATTATTTTGAAGCTGTAACACAAGTCATCACTTTCAATGTCAACTGAGATGGGACAAAATGTGTGTTTAACTTCATTCAGCACAGAGATTTTTACAGAGAGGAATATATGCCTTGGTTAATGTGGAAGGTGCTACTAGAAACAGTGAGCTGTTAGTTTAAAAAGAGCAAATCAGTGAGAAATGCTTTTTTTCTTGGCCTACAAAGTAGAATTATGTCATTCATAAAAAGCTTAAAAAGGGACTCTATAATGCTATATTCATTTATTGGATAATTATGACTTTGACTCAGGGATTCCTCTATGTTTTTTTATCTGACTAACAAAAATGGCAGGCTGACATCATACTTTTGCTGTTATTCAGCAAACCATCTTATTACCTGTGCATTTTAAGGACTATGTAAGAGTCAACCTTGACTACTTCATTCTGTTGCACAGACTCTCTCTCATGAAGGTTTTAAAAAAAGGACATTTTCGATACCACAGATCTCAGTATTGCATTCATATTCAACATTAATACATAACAACAAAATAATGTCAAACAGTAAAAGGGTGAATAGGAATGTAACAGCAAAGACAAAAGTGAAAGAGATGGAAAAAGGCTAGACATTTTAAACAACTTTTTTGTTACTATAGCCTAAGGCTTCCTCCTGGTTCTTTTCAAGCTGCAATAAAAATTATATTAAATATTTAAAATGTGAACAGGCAAGTTTACTTACTGTTTCCTGGATGCCAGCGTACTGCATTTAAATATGCATTGCAGTAATGGAAGAGAAATTCATGCTTAGATTGAGTAACTTCTCCTTGAAGTAAAGGTAGCAGATCATGTCCATCAATAATCCTGAGTAAGAAAGCACTTCAAAATCAGAAAAATAACTCAAACCTCACTTTCCTAGAAGATATGATAATTCTGCTCATCTGCTGCTTAAAAAAACCCAAATCTGAATGGCCACCTCCAATTGGTCAATTTGGACAAAACCTTCAGGTGCTCTTCCCTTTGATGTTTACATTACCTACGGAAACAATTTTACATTTTGCTATTATGAATAGTTCCCTCATTCTTTTTTTTTCACTTCTGAGAAAGTGAACAAACATAAGTGAATAAATTGCCACAACACAGTCCTTCACATTCAAGTTTTAGGAGTAGTCTGGCTGAAGTAACCCTAAAACTAGAGAAAATATGTTGTTCTGTGCTAGCCTCCCTAGAAGTAGTGGTAATATCTCTGTTCAGTATTTTCTGTATGCCAGAATTTAAGACAGAAGTTGTAATTTCAAATTTGAATATTAACGGTTTAAATATGCATTTATCAACTACACACACACACACACATACACATAAATATATATAAATTCTCTAAATGCTGCTAGACAATTTGATCATGCTTTGAAGGAGTCAGTCAATTTACATAAAAACTGAGTTATAAAATAAGCAAGACTTTTAGCTGTTTCCCTATATTAAACCTTTGAATTGCTGACATCAGCTGGGGAGAAATCATAGTCTGCAGTTTTGACCTTGTATGAATTACAAATTTTTCAATAAGTCTTATCAGAAATTACTTTTTGCTGATATAAAAATCAGCATGTAATTCTTTCTCAAGCATTTTGAGCTACATCCCATAAAATTGTTTTGAAACTTATAAAAAGTTTTAAAAGGTCTATGTTGATTTTCATTACCTTTACATAGATGATCATTTCATTACCATTACATAAAAAATATTTTTCACGTTGGTGTAACTACTACAAGACAGGTCCTAAGTGTACTTTTTAAAGTTGCATGTGATAATTGAATTCTTGCCAGCAATTGTATGCAACCAAGCCATTCAGAATAGCGCTTTTCTCAAAGGATGGGCAGGAAAACTTCCTGGAATTTTGAAAGCTATCTTGTCTGATAACTGCCATCTGGGTGAATTCCTGTCTGTGGGGGTCTGTTAAAACAGAATCTTTCCCACTTTCAGTTTTTCATGTTATCTTGCCTGAGTAACAGGCTCGTCTTGCAAGCTGGCTCATTAACAGATGCATGTCTATTGAACACTTTCTGTTCTAGAGCCTATTGATGGGGAAAAAGGCATCTCCAGAAAAATGTCTCCAGTACTCTAGCATTGCTTCAGCTGCTGGATTCAGAGGAATATATGAGACTTTTCTTTTCAATTACTAATTTCTCTTCTTTAACTAGGAACATCCATTCCTTTTCAACCTGCTTTCTCACAGTGACAAAGTATTAATTATATTGTTCTCTTATTTCTCAGGAAGAATTCAGTGGAGCTAAAAGAACCCAGCTGCTGGAACAAAAATACTTCAAGCTATTCTATGACCTAAGATGAAACAGTACTTATGGCATCAGTCTAGCACAGAAGAATCACAGCGGAGCAACCTACAAGTGGAAGTTACACAACTATATTTGAATTTCCATAAAGGGGATCAAAGAAAACATCAGTACTTAGTATTCACTCAAGCAATATGAAAACAAAATGCAATAGATCTGCCACATAAAGAACAATCAGAACTTCGGAGGTTTGACAGAATTACTGCTTGTAGAGCATCTCTCAGGACCAACCTGACTAATTTTTAATGTCTTAGACTTGTCCTGCCCTGCCATTTCCTTCAAACACTCAATGAATTATCATTAGCAGAGTGACTCTGCTCACCAGTGGGCTTCCCAATGTGGATTCTTGATGCTTTGTGCTCAAAAGCTGTTTGTGAGTCATCAATGTGTTCAAAGCATATGCATATCAACAGGTTTCTCCACTCACTGGATTTGGAGAGCAACAGCATTTAGGCAGAGGCACCTTGCCACTGAGACTGTGTATCTCACGAACAAGATAAAGCCTGGGGATGTAGCAGTGTCAGGAAGGCATCTTATGAATTGTGGAAGTCCAGTGGCTTTTCTTATCAGGCTGCAAAACCCTGTATGGGATTATTTTGACTACTAGGTACAGAGAAAAAACAAACAAACAAACAAAACAAAAAACTCCAAACAAAACTGTGAGAAAAACGTAGCTGGTGTTTTGATGTGTTTTGTGATATTAAGCAGGTCACCTCTAAGCTCATGAAGTTTAAAGTAATTTAAAGTTTCTTTTTCCACCAAATTCACTCATGCAGAACAGAACCTTTTTTGTTACATTCATTTTTGCTTTTAGTAAGTAATTCCAAGTTTGATTTGACAGTACATTGATCTGATGGTATTCTGTTGTCTTTTTGGTGCTTGTTCTGTGAGTTAAGCTGTATTTACATACAACATTTCTGTAAAATATTACCAGTCTGTCAATATGAAAAGAGACAACATGATATTGCAAGTAGAAAACCTAGTTTCTTATTTACATTCTCACCTCTATCTCAATAGATATCACCAGAATGAATAAAACACTCATGGCACTTGCTGTAAAACAGAGATGACTACAGAGCATACCTGTCAGAGGGTAGCTGTGCATCTGCAAGTTTAACAATGGTAGGAAATATATCCATGTTACTGGTTGGCTCATCAATATAGGCACCAGCCAGCACCACGCCGGGCCAACGGAGAAGACCTGGCACACGAATGCCTCCTTCCCAGTTTGTTGATTTTCCACCTGAAAAATTTAATTTTTTGCTGAGAAATCAATTTCTTCTTTGATAATTCCACCCCATTACATTCAATTTCCAAATATTAAACATTCTGTCTAACTAGAATCTTTCCATTAGACAAATTTGTCCAATTCTTAATGTTCTCAATTTTCTACCTTCTGTAGTACTTTCTCTCTGTAAATTTACTAATATGTATTAGACACAGCTTATAAAGTGCATTTAAATTGCACCAAAAAAAGTAGTTGTGGAGATTAAAGAGCATTTCACTGGAATCTTCATATAGGCCTAGATTGTGTAGCCTATAGATATGTGAACCTATAACCAAAAAACAGGAATCCAAAAATAAAAAAAGAGCTATACTCTTTTTGAATCCAGAGAAGGTACATGACTTTTTATTAAAAATGGTGCTTAATGACTTTATATAAAGAAAGTACTAATTTAAGTATGTTTCTGAATTCTCCAATTCAATGCACTATAAAGAAATTCACTTCAGTGATGGTAACTTTCAGGATGCTGTAAAGTTCTAAACCAACACAGTTGCATCAAATGCACTATCAACTGATTGCATTCAACAGTGACTTGCAGTCATTTACTGTTTCTACAAGATCCATCACTGCTGAGTCCTCCCAACATCTTTTGTAGAAGGGCAATGGGTTTATTCTCTGAGACCATGTTCACCACTACTGAATAAATAATTGACCTGACCTGACTCTGTATGAAGAGGAATCACAAATGCTATTACCAATGTCCTACACAGTTGTGACTATGCAGAACACTTCAGGATGACCTTTGAAATTAATATATCACTTGAAAAAGAAACCTCTGTTAAGCAGATGGGTTTTGAATATGGTTAAACACAGTCAGGGCCATTTGGAAATAAATTGAGATTTTATACAATTAATATGTCTGGAAAAACAGAAAGGTATTGGTTGGACTTCTGCCATTAAATGAACCAAATAGCAATTGATGGGTCAGGCCAAACTACTACAGGACTATTTTTTTCCTGTATCTCTCTTTTTCAAGTTTAAAAAAAAAAACAAAAACAAAACAAAACAAACAAAAAACCCAAACAAAACAAACAACAAAAAAAAAAAGGAAAAAATTATTACAACAAAGTATTTCAAAAGTTCTGCTTCCTCAGCATCTTAAACCATCTTAAACACCCAAAACACCTCACAGATGTCAATACTTTTGGTATTGACCCCAGGCCTTGTTATACATGCTGTCTATTTTATTGACTTCTTGATGATCCTTTCCATTTCAGCAAAGGGGGTTCAGAATCTACCTGGTTTTCTACAGGATTTTCACTCTTTGTAAAGGTAAGTACTAACTTCAAGACAGACAACTCTTTTTTGTATAAATTTACCTTTTTCTTTTCTTGTAACTGAAGGACCATTAGCTCATGATTCCTTATTATTCCACATTTTTGCTTAATTTTTTTTCACAGGCTTTATCAGAACTCATAATATTGAATAGTAAGGGACATATCTAGTCTGACATCAGAAAAGTTACAACTTTTTAATATTCAGCCTTATGTCAAGCAACAATATTTGCTTAAGTTTTTTTTTTTTATGGTGCCAAGATCAGATCTCTACTGGATTGTCTGTCTTCCAGAACACTCTTAAAAGTTTACTGTCATTGCTGAGTTAAATGTAATTTCATTCTCACAATGAAGTGTGTGGCTACCTACTCAAGAATGAGATGCATGTCCTATTTATGTTTAAATTCTAGTAAAATATTATTTTCAAAACACAACTCTAAAGAAAATGTAGATTTAAATTCAAAAAGTGCTATTTGGTGGGACATAGAACACCTGTCACCCAAAGAAAATGTTCACCCAAAAGTATGCTGATTGGTTGTTCATGTTGTTGGGTCAAGACCAGTGTAGATGTCAATATCTTGTGTCTATCTCCTGTAGAAAAGATGACTCTGCCCCTGTAAAACAGCCATTATGCTTTTCAAAGTTTGGTGGGAATTAGGTGTTACACAGCAGGAAAGATTAATAACCTGACTGAGCTATGATACATTGAAAATCCTGCATAAGGCCTTAAAATTACAGATATCTTCAAATGAACATACTTTTAGTCAACAGATACACCAGGGAGATGATTTAGTTCATGAGCCAGATCCTAATTCTGTGTATACACAACAGCAGCTTTATGGCTGAAGGGTACCAATAGACAAACAACACTAAGAGCTGATCTATATCTTTGATAGCTTTAGTTATGATGTTCCTTTTATTTCTGTATGCCTGTCTGAACCAAGTAAGAGACTAGATGGATATTTAAATAAAGACTTGTTTTACTGGACTGGATGTTTAAATAACGTCTTGTTACACTGTTGTCTCCTGTCTCTCTGAAGAGAGAAATTTCAAAGTGGTAAATCTGATTCTCACACATGTTGCAATTCTTAAAACGTAGATATTGGGTCACTTTCACAGCTCTTAGGCTCACAGTACAATTTTCTTGAATCAGCAGAAAAGAACAGAAAAATTGCACATTACCCAAGTACAAAGGAACACTGCACAAACTCTGATGCCCTGCTGTAAGGTAGAAAAAGCAAAATGGATTCCACAGCAGGGCTTTCTCCTTACTTACATCTATGAAGAAGTGACTGCTGTTTTCCTTTCAAAAGGTTAATTGGAGCATAATTTTTTTTTACATCTCTGGAGACTGGGAATAACAGGGAATCAGGGCAGGAATTACAGGTCATTGCAGAAGACTGTCTTCTATTATCTCTGCTTACATGGTGTTCATTTTTATTAGAATTGTGCTTAGTGACTGCAGGTGCTTAATGCCATTACATGATTACAAATCCCTGGACATTTATCATCTTTAAAACTCTAGCTGTTAAACTCTGTTCAAGATATCTGCATTCTTTTTCCCTTAAAAAAAATCAAGGTTTTACTACTGATGCTTGAAACACAGAAACATCTAAATGGCTAATAAAATAAAATTTTTAAAAATCCAGAAAATATCATTATTTTGAAATAAAATCTCTTGATATTTAATGACATGGCTCATTAGTTTTGTGTTTGCTCAGACTTGACAACATTGAAACAGAGAAAAGACTGAAACCTAGTAGCCTGTATGCCTTGCAAAATCTAGACAACTTACCTTTTTGTTATTTTTGTTCTCCTAAAGTCTTTTAAAAATGTTTTTAAAGCAGCACAAAACACACGAGGCTGTATTTTCCTGCTATGCCATTTATGCTTTCTGAGTAGTTGCACCTTTCAGTGTTACATTGAACAATAGCCTGCATTCACCTTTCCTGAAAAATCTGCAGGAGCAGGCAAAATACAGACATAACTCTCTGCAGTCATCCACAACATGATGTCAAATTTCCATTTTAACCTCATTTCAAATCTTAGCTAAAAGAATATATCTTTTTTTTTTCCCCTCTGGTTTAAATTGACTGCTATTACCTAACTCTGGCAATAGAGCTCTACAAAAGGATGATGTATAAAGGGGAACGCTGCAGTAAATCACCATTAACATTATGAATGATGAATGATGAAAACTATTTGAAACAACTTTCTTAAATCACCTGGATTATAACCACACTACACTTTCCTTCATATATTCTTCTAAAAACAAAGCTTCCAAACCAATTTATTCTCTTGAATTATAAACACAACATTAATTATTCCACCCATCTCTACTGGACTTAATGCCACAAATATGAACAATCAAGACTGGTTACTATTGCTTACTCCATAAATTAGTTGAACAAAAATTTATTTTCAATGAAAAGTTTACTCTTACTGATTTTTATCTTGTTTCTTGTACTTTTTTTGTTATTTTTTTTATATTAATCTGAGCTATTCTTGTACAGGTGAATGGAATAGACATGGCTCATTTGCACATTTTCATCTAACATTTCCTTCAATCAAACAAAATGATCTCTGAGGATAATTTTTATTTCAGTCAAAATTAAAAGATGGGTTGATTATTTAAAAATCTGGATCACTTCAGAGAGACTATAAAAATACAGTACATTTGAAAAAAGTCAACTACTGCTTTCTTTCAAGTGAAAAGTAAACTCCAACAAATATCACTAGATATGCCATAGCATGATTCCTGGGGTCAAAGTAATGGTCAGCTTGATTTCTCTGTGGCTTAGAGAAAGGAAGAGATTTACTAACAGTTTCAAGAAACCCTGCTGAACTAACTTATCACTGCAGTATATATATTTGTTCTACTGTAATACATTTTTTTTTAAAAATAGGTATTAATTTCTTGTTTTGATCTCACAGATCTGTAACAGATTTTAAAATACAAATCAGGGCCTAAGTCCTTATGAGACATTATTGTTTTTTATGGATATTAAAAAATAACTATGATTATACCTATTTCTAAGGCACAAAACACTTAAAATGAATGTTGTTCACACAGTTTGACTTTATCGGTGTTTGGCTCCACTTCCATTATCAACAGACCTACTCTGCACCCACTTCTGACCCACTGTGGCAGCATGACAGTAGCCAAGTGTCTGTATTGTCCTAAGTGCTACATAAGTACAAAGAAAAACTGTTTCTGATGCAGATCTGAGGTACAGGCAAAATGTGCATAACCAAAAGACAGTAAGATGTAAGGAGATTAAACAGAAAATCCAGTATGTGACAATGTGGGAAAGATGTCAACAAGTGACAGCGAGGAGGATGTGTACTGTCTGCATATGTGCCACTGAAATACTATAGTGAGAAAAAGTGTAGAGAAAAGTTTTTATTGCCTTCATTGTTTATTGATATAAATTATGTATTTGTATATATGATAGCACACTAAGGCTAATTCAAGAAATTACTAAGAAACTAAATAGAAATTACAACAAAATATTTCAATTCAAAATCTCAGAGTACCAAAGAAGAATATATTGGCTTCCTTTAAATCAGTCACCTTGCACATCTTGTTAATATAGAGGAAATTCTCTTAATTTATTTATTCTGCTCATCTTATTTGAAAGTACAAATCCAAAGTATTTGGAAAAACTAACCTTATTTCTGCTCCTAAAGGAAAGCTATGGTGACTACATCAAATGGACATGCTCCAGTGAGGCAGAAAGTGAAAAACACCTAAGGAGAAGTCAGTGCAGGTATCCTGGAAATCATATATACAAGCAATACCTTAATGTTCTAGTGTCTGACTTTCAACAGACAAATATTACACAACTGGAAAAAAAAAAAAGCTGGAAAAACTACATAGAAAATTTTAATAAGATACTTTAGTTACACCTATTACTTTCCATATTTCAATATAAAATTGTTAATATTAATGTATTAATTAAATTTTTATATTTTTTAATTTAATTAATAGTGTCTTGTACAAATCCCAGGAGTACTTCACGGTTCAGGTATGAAGTCCTTCAGTTGCGAAGAAATTCTTACTAAAATAGCCACTATTCTTTGGTTTAGAATCTGTATCTAGGTTTAAACCTTAGAAAGATCTTTGACAAAGACCTTCAGGAAAAGTTACTGGAACATTAATCATGGCTTAGGAGACAAAGAATTTCCATGAATCAAATTCTGACTAGAAAACAAAAAGAGGAAACAAAAAGAGAGAACAAACAGTCTGTGACCCTTTGCAAAAATACCCAAAAAACAATAGTAAGGTACCTTGAAGCTACACTGTGTTAAGCCCCTGGCTGTTTTAGTATATTTTCTTCAGTTTTGAAAGTGAAGTAATTCACACAGGAAAATAACAAGAAATTAGGGATGAGTAAAAACTCAACAACTAAAAATCATAAGAGAGATGGAAGAGACAATTATTTTCTGAATTTCGCCACTGCCAAGAGCCATAGTAAAAGTATACAAAACAAATCTAAGTTATGGAAAATTTAAAATTTCCCCTCCTTTATGCTATATTAGTGAGAACATGTTATTAAACTTCAAGATGTTCCATGAAATTTGCAACTGTCCCATTTCATAATAGTAAATGAAAGCACTGTGCTCTCATGGATAAGTGATAGAGGCTAGAGATTTTAGAAAGACTCAAAGTGGGAATTCATCTTTACATGATAAAAATTTATATAATTAATGTTAAGAATCTTTTTAGAATCTAAATTTTCAGGATTCACATCTTAAACCAAGGTCATACTGTCTAGTATTAGGATCTTCTTAGGGATTTTATTTACTACACAGATCCTGATAACCAACCATCAGATCCATCACTTCAGTACTACTATATAATGTCTTCTAAAAAGGAATACTGCAGAAATAAACCAGACTGTGTATGACAGCAATTGGTTAGTTCTGGTTTCTAACTATCCAAATTTATGGTGGACTGTTCTGTAGTTAGGATCCAGAGTAATAAAACCTTCAAACAGCAATTTCCCCTTTTTGCATTGCGTTTTGCAGCACTAGCTTAACTATCCAACCCCCTCTTAAATTTTATTATTGGTGCGTATTTGGCTAGGTATCAAGAGAAATTAGTGAGTTAGAATTGCGGAGATCGCTTAAGAGCTTTTGATTTTAGGGCAGAACCAATTATTGCTGAGCATATTGCTCCAGCTCTGACAAGAGGGTTAAGTGCCTTGATTCATGTTTGCATTCATACAGCACTAAGAGACAAAAAGATAAGTAGTGGAGATTGACTAGCTGAGACAGGGAGAGAGAAAGTATGTGTGTGTCTCACAGGTTTTTAAACTGCACACCAAAGAAAGGAAATTCCTGGTGTGTGGACACATAAGCACAAGCAGCATCAAGATTGTCCTGCATTTTTAGGCACATTGCTAGTCTTGGGGCTTCACAGGTCTGTTTCTCATTAACTCTGACAAATATGTACAGACGCTTTTCACCACACATGACTTTTAATATTAATAAATTCCTATGTATGAAAATTGCTAGTTATGCAATTAATTGATAATTTTTACCTCAGTCCTTTTGAAAATGACACATAATATACATGTTAAATTAAGGACTGATTTTGAGATGGAGGAAGTGGAATGTAAAGCAGAATTAATTGTATTTTAAAATGTTAAAAGTATATTCAACTAATGGCATGGGTCTTTTTATTTTATTAAGAATGTTTCTCATCAAATAATAATTTTGTTTCTTACATTGTGATTATTTTCTAACCCATTTGTCAGCACAGCAGAGGTGTTAATTGCAAACTACACAATTTTTCCTTCTTTTTAAAAAGAAGCCCCATTACTACCCAACTAAATCTATCCATCAGATTTTTTTCTTAATACAGGTAAGATATATTTCAAGTTTTTCTCCGCACTGTAAGTATGAAAAAAAATTTTGCAAGGCTTGAGAGAACGACTCCATTTAATCAAAGTTCTTCAAGAAGACATATTCCCAAGTGTATTTTTTCCTTCCTTTTAATTTATCCTGTACCTTATGTCTGGCACTCTAGAAGGCAAATATTTTTTAGAGCTTCTAAAACACCTCAGGCTGAGCCTACGGCTACAGATATGTAACCATATGGTTCCTTAATTACTTAAATCACTATGCAAGGCCTATGTGCTAACATTCAAGATACATTTCACTCTGGTGTTAGCCCACGGGGACCCATCTGATAGACATCATCACTTTGGCATTCCTTGTTTTTCTTGTGTACCATTTTCTTTGAAGCTCTCTTAAAATGTAAGGGTCATTTCTCAGACAGATACCTACTGACTAAAAACTGTGGGGTCCTCCTGCTTGAAAACCTTACTTTATATGTCTGAATTTTTTGCTTTTTGAAGTTTTGCTCTTGATATAAATCTGGCAAGAGTGGAAGATTGTGTTACCTTTCAAAGGGATTTTGATAGGTTTGGAGAAATGGACCAAAAGAAACCCCGTTAAGTTCAGCAAAGGAAATTTCAAGTCCTGAATCTTCACAGCAGCAACCTCTAGCAAAGCAAAGGCTGGGGAGTAACTGGCTGGAAAGCAGCTCTGCAGAGAGGGACTGGAGGGTTCTAAGGAGCAACCAGCTGAACGTGAGACAGCAATGTGCCCTTCTGGCAATGAAAGACAACATCACTCTGTGCTGCATTAGGAAGAACTCTTCCAGCCAGTCCTGCTCTCTGCTCAGCACTGGTGAGATGTACCTGGACCACTGGGTCCAAGTGTAGAACTCCCCAGTACAAGGTACATGGGCATACTGGAATGAGTTTGAATGAAGGTGATGAATGATTAAGCAACTGGAGCATTCAATATATGAGGAGAGGCTGACATCCTGGAGAAGAAAATGCTTACCAGGATCTTATCCATTGGTAGGGATTACATGGATTTATATGAGTAAAGAGGACAGAGGTAGACTTTTTTCAGTGGGGAGCCAATGACAGGACAAGAGGCAATGGGCACAAACTAAACCACAGAAAACTCCATTTAAACATAAGAAAAAGGTTTTTTTTATGGTGAGTGTGATCAAATACTAGAGATTTGCCCAAGTTGCCCAAGGAGGCTATGAAGTTCCATCATTTTCATAACTTGACTGGATACAATCCTGAGCAATGTGCTACAGCTGACCCTGCTCTGCAGGGGCTGGGACTGCAGACCTTGGGAGATACCTGCCAGGCTCAACTACTATGAGATTGCTGGATTTCTTTGATCTTGACCCCTGAAATATGAGTGGAAAACAAATTACACAGCCTCTACCTAGTGAAAGAATGAAAAGAAATTAATCTCTCATAAAGAAACAAGAAGACTAATTGAATTTCATTTAAAAGAATAAAAAACAAACATTCTTACTTTATTTCAAATAGATCAAAGATTTTGACCTGGGCCACATAGTACATTACAGTTTTGGTGCAAACCCAAGGAGATGCTTTTTCTTGCATTTTTCAAGAATAATCAGAGAATATTCACCTTTATATATGCCATTGTATCCTCCATGGACTTCTCCAGCACTGGAGATTTCTTCAACATGAGCCCCTTGGTCAGATGTAAAGTATACAAGAGTTTTGTCATTCAGATTATGCTTCTCCAGCACATCCAGAACTTGCCCTAGGTGAAAAAAAAAAAAAAAAGAAACAAAGGACAGCTTTAAGAACCACAGAATGAACTAGGTTGGAAAAGACCTTTGAGATCATCAAGTCCAACCTATGACCTAACCTAACACTTCCTAATCAACTAAACCATGGCACTGAGTACCATGTCCAGTCTGTTTATAAAACACGTCCAAGGATGGTGATTCCACCATCTCCCTGGCCAGAAAATTCCAGTGCCCAATCATTCTTTCAGTGAAAATTTTTTCAGACATCTAACCAAAACCTGCCCTGGCACAGCTTAAGACTGTGGCCTCTCATTCCGTCAGCTGTTTCCTGGAAAAAGAGACCCACCCCCACCTAAAACCACCTTTCAGGGAGTTGTAGAGACTGATGAGGTCATCCCTGTGTCTCCTGTTTTCCAGGCTAAACATCCCCAGCTGCCTTAGCCATTCTTCACAGGGCTTGTGTTCCAAGCCCTTCATCAGGCTTGTTGCCTTCCTCTAGATGCTAGAGACTAAATGACCTTTTCATTAGCCTTGGCACATATAAATATTTGTGTCCCTTTGCCTTTTTGAGACCACTTTTCACATAAACTCTCTTATACTCAGCAATAGGCACATGCAGCATACTAGGGCACAACCACAGAGGGCTTGTAGCAATCAGGACCATGACTCGGTTGCTGCAGGGTTTCTTGAAGTACAGTATGAGAGGATTTGTGCACATCAGAGAAAAGGGCTAATTCACAGAGAGCAAGTGACTTTTGGAAGCAGTTGCTCTCAATCAAGGAAATCTCTTAGCAAGAAGATTCAAGCCACTGAGGATATTTAGTAACACTGAGGAAAGAGTCTCAGCAAGCAGAGTAGATCTCGCAGTTTGGGGGTAAAGCCTTGCTGCCTAGCAACCCATAGAGGCAGCATGGCAAAAATCTCAGTGCTAGTGTTAGAGTAAGATTAAAAAAAAAAAGTAAGAGAATGCATGTCACACCTTTAAAGTATGTGTTTTCATTATCAAACCTAATAATTAGCCCTTAATATCTCAACATATGGAAAAACATCAACTAAACTCAAAATATGCAAGGTAATAAACACACCCAGGTGCACACATTTAATAGAAATACCCACAGGGATATGTCTTGTACCTCTTAGGCACCACAGGCTCATGTTTCATTTTCACAAAGGGCTCTTCACACTACTTTGGCACTGTGGAGGGGCTTGCAGTTATATAAATTGCACTGAAACCTATTTAGACTGAATTCTTTAAAGTGTGTTTCTGTACGAATGAGAGTGAAGCTTCTCTTTGTAACTTGCTCCAGTGGATTTTATACTGATTAGGAATCTAAAATTATTGGTCCTGGAAAATCACCAAAGCTTAAGAATTTAATTCTTCACATCAGCCTGACAATGAACCTGTCCTTTAGGGATCTCAGAACATATAAAGATAATTCTGTCTTCACAACTATTTTATCTTTATTCTTTTACTTAAGCATCCAAGAATGGTCCAATTTGAATGTTAATTTTGATTTGCTAACCTGACCACTAAGAATTAATTCATCATCTGATGCCCAATTATTGTGTCAAAGAGGATGAGATAAGAACTTTGAAATACAGAGCCTTCTAAATGGTTTTCAGATCACTGTTTCTGCTGCTATGCTCTTTTTCTGGATAAGGAGTAATTACCTTACTTTATTGCTACTATTTCTAGTTGCCTCTTAATGCTATATCATTTTAAAACTGTCTTTTTAAAATGGTTGACTGTCATAATTTTTCAAATGACTGGGTCAAGAATAAAGGAACATCAGCTGCTAAATTTAAGTAAATACCTGTTGGTCTTGTTTGTAAAGTAGGAGCAAAGAAGAAATGTAAGAGTAGGAGAATTTGTTTATGTAAATTTTGAAGCATCGTGGGAGTTGAAATTTCCCAACAGAGCTGAGAAAATCTGTTACAAAGGCTGACATTTTAAAGCTGGTGGGTTGAGGGAAAATCACACAGATCCTTCTGACAAGCCATGCGCTTGCTGCATGAGGTGGATGGACTTAGTGCCAGAAAAGAACGAGGCAATTTCCCATTGGCTTCTGGAGCTGTTTGGAGAACGTTCTCGTTAAGTGATTACAATATCTCTTGGAAATGCGTCAATGATGATAAAAACGTAGAGTACAAAGATAAATTAGTAAATTATATGTAGGTATTCAGCCACATGACCTTCAGAGTTCCTTTCCAACCTACATCAAGTTATGATTTTATGATACAATGACAATAAATAGTATTGTGCAAAGAAATATATGTGCAGTGATGTGCACAGCAATATTTTTTTTACAGACCTCATGTTCATGATGAAATTGAGCTTTCAAATTAATCTTGTATGTAAACCAAAATGAAAATAAAGAGAGACTGGTACTCAGTATATAACATGATCTCTGGTCATCAAAGGCATTGGCAATCATTCAATAATGACCACTTTGATTTCCCAACTAATTTGGGAAGACATGAGAAGCAATGAAAATTGTCTCACTATCACAAATAATTAAACTTAAAATTAAAAATTAGTATTAAAATTAAATGTAAGACATTATAATGAATTTTAATGAGGTTGAGTAACTAGTCTTTCTCTGAAAAAAATATTAAATACTGACACTCAAACATGTCCCATTTTAGAAAAAACCCAGCCATATAAAATGCATAGAAATTCTCATCCGTTGTTAAACTCAATGGTAAAACTTCCATTTCCTTCAAAAGGATTTTGAAACACAGAGGATTGCCTACATAAGGTTTAACTAACAAATGCTAAAATGACAATTTATCTTAGCAGCAACATTTTTCAGTACAGATGGACTAATAGTGGTAATTTAAAAAACAGTATTGCCAGAGTATGGCAGTCACAACACACTCATAAGCAAACCTTCCATTTCTATTTTGATCCTGAACACTAGCACCTACTAGAATGAAAATTGTAAATAAACAACAAAGTGTGTGTTATCAGGAGATAAGACAAAGTTAAGTGTATTTGAATGATGTGACTCCCGTTAACACAAGAAAGACTTTAAATTAAAATACCTTGCTCTAAAGTCACATTCTGAAAAATTAACTGCTGTACTGATCTGTGTGGATGGTACCAGTTATTTTTTTTCTGATTTGAACCGAACATATTTGGAAAGACAACATTTCTGAATATCCAAATCAATCTAGCTGATGGAGCTCCATAATTTCTGCAGCTATTTAGCAACTAGAATTTCAGATCAAGCTACTCCTACCACTGCCATTATAGGAATGTATTCTGCAATGTAGGTGACTAGCATTGTAGCAGACAAAGGTGTTAGATCATTGGATATTTTGCTTCCATTTATATATTTTAAGATACAAAACAGATTGAGGGCTGTGTTAAGATGTTACTTGTTTTAATTAGTACATCAGTGTTCCAAAATTTAAATTAAACTTCTTGTGAAATATACTGAGGAGTGCTCTCTGTATTCTACTCTCCATTCTTGCTTCAAGCTGTGTAAAATTATAAAGAATTGTTTCATTCTGAATATGAAAATGCCAATTTCAGTGGAGTGATAGCCATGTGAAAGAGAGAAGAGCAATTGACTCTGTTCTTTGGAAGGAAACACAGCGCCATGCCGCTTTTCAAGTTCTCCAGCACAGCCTGAATGGTAGCTGAACTAGCCTTGCTAATGATGACCATAATTACTGAGTGTTGACTCATGTAAAGCTCCTAATGTATGCATCTACAAGAAGAGATAGGGTTTATAAAAAAATCACTATTCATTTGTAAACAAGGTACAAACACTGAAAAAAAATAATGTGTTTACAAACGTGCAACTGATTTGGAAAAGCATTTAGACAAGCAAGCATATGAACAAGTGCATTTTATTCAAAAATTAGTTTACTGACATTTCAAGTCAATGGAAAAGAAATATTATTTGTATTAATACAAAATAATTTAGAGTATTGCTGAAATTGTGAATAAGAAGCTAGAGGAAATAGAATACCTCTGTGTAATCTAGGCATTAGAAAAAAATAGCTTCTACTTGTGATGAAAGCTTTAAAGCAGTCTGCCAAATTCAAAGAAAAAACATGTTTCAGAAGGAGGGTTAAGGATCTGTCTCAGGAAGAGACAACTGACAGTAAAGGAAATTCCTAATAATGTAACACGATTTTCCAACTCCAGTAAACTTTCACATGCCTCTCTTGTATCCAGAAATTTACAGCAAGACTGAGACAATTATTGAACAAAGATTCCAATAGATCAGACTGGGAAAATAAGCCATCACATCACTGCCTAGAAGAGGCAATTTGATTGTGTTGGTGTTTTATTGTTTTTATTTGCTGTTTAGAATTTGCTACTGCTGCTCATGTTTGGTTTTGAATAGCATCATTAGCCAGAATCACAACTTGCAGTCAGCTCCAGGCATTCACCTCTGTGAGTGGAAAGCCTTTGAATAAATGCATAAAATCCTAAAAATTAATGCTACATGCATAAGTATTTGGAAGCCCACATTTCCCCCAGAAAATATATTGATGCCTTTCAACTATATACCCATAGGTTTACCACATAGTAAACCTCTTGGGAGCCCCTTTCTGCTACAGCAGTTTAAGGTTTTGCCACAGTTAATCATCTCTTCAGGGCTCAAAGGCTAAGATTTTCACCTTATGAAAACTTAATGTTGCAGCTTCTGCATATCATCATTCACAAGCTAACAATCATTTTAATCTCTATGTTGATTTTCTGTGATGAAGAAAAGTTTCTTCACTTTAATGTACTGATCTGATTACAAAATCTACTGACTAAAACCTTTGTATTAAAACAAACTTACAACTAAGATCAAGACACCCCTATTTTAATTTTAGCTTTTGTACATTTCAGGTTATAAATATGCAAATGTTCCCATAGTATGCTCAGAGCCATCCAGTTTCCTTTGATAAATATGTAAATCAGCTTGTCTCTGCAGTGGGGAAGTAATTATCACTTTCAGACCTAGTCATTGAGTACAACACTTGAGGTAAAGATGAAAAATAATAA